ATAAAATTTTTATTCACAAAAAGCTTGATTTCATTGTGAATATAAATATATAACTACAATTTATTAATTTAGGTTGCGCAAAGGTGCTTATCATTTGTTCATAATACATTAAGCGAATTACGTATATTAGAAGTTCAACGACCTGAAGGGTCTATTGAATGTTGGTCTTTTCTTTGTGCATTAGAAGTATTGCAAGCTTGTCAATTATCGTCTTATAATATTGATAATAATCAACAACTGGATCTTTGCTCCTTACATACAGCTAGTTTATGGGCTCTTGCTAGAGATAAAGTAAGTTGCTAGAAGTATTGTATAATTTTCTTAATTATAGAATTTCAAATAAATATTAGTTTATAAAATTATATTTTTTATATAAATTTTATTTCAGTATTAACTATATAGTTAATCTTTATTATAATTTATTTTAGTTGGGAAATTTAGGAAAATTATGTGGATTAATGCCAGGAAATGAACCATCTAGTGAACAGTTACATACAGTTGTTTATTTAATAGCTGGTATGGGAGATTCTGAATCACATTTAGAGGGTAAATTAACACCTACTGATAAATTAAAAGAAGCACTTTCATCAAAAGAAGCATTTAAAAAACAATATCTTGAACATGCTGAATTGGCTATGGGTACCTATAAACATGTAGGTCGAATTCGATCAGCCAGATTAATTGGAAAAGAATTAGCTCAATTTTATAGTGAACTTGGGGAGAACCAAAAAGCTGTTGCATTTTTATCAGATGCTTTAAAAACATACACTGATGAAGGTTGGAGTCATTTAGGAGCTCAAACTCAACTTGAATTGGCGCAATGCTACAAGAGAATGGATGATGTTGAGAAATATACAAAAATATGTGCTGCAATTGCTAGTTTAGATGTATTACACATTACTGTGCGAAATACTTATTTTGAAGAAATGTTTGGATACATGAAAATGATCTCATCTCCACAACCTTTACTCATAGAATTTGGATGTGTTTTTGTGATACATAGTATGGAATTAAAGTGATGGATAAAATTGTTCAAGACTGTGTAGTTAATATTGAAATAAGTATAGAAAGTTTATTTCCTAGAGAAGTAAATTGCACTAAAGCATCTATATCTGTTGAAGAAATTCAAAAACCTCTAATATCTAATAAAAAAAAAGGTTCAAAATTAATATCTGAACCATTAATTCCATTGTTATCAAAATGTACTTTAGAAGATATGAAACCATTTGATCCAAGTTTACTTCAATTACAAGTATATTCGTATTTAGATTATAAAGAAGATAAAAGTCTTGGATCTGCTAGTGTTATACACAGAAGCACTAAGCCTATTGTAAGACGTTCTGATAGTACAAAACATAGAAAACCATCTGTAAATGCAAAAGGTGATTTTAGTAAAGCGTTATTATGTAATGAATTCATTGTAAAACCAGGTATGAACACATTTACATTAACTAGACGTGTTGATCAACCTGGTTTTTACAAAGTTGGTCAAATATCATTAGTTATTGAAGAAAAATTGGAATTTTTGTCTCCTATTTTAAATCCTCGATTGTGTTATGAAGTAGCTAAAACTCAGCCTATAATTTCCATGAAATGTGGTAGAGATTTATTGGCAGGCCTTATTCAAGATATAGAACTAGTTATTATGAGTGGAAGTATAAAAATAACAAAGGAAATGAAACTTAAATTACGTACGTCTAGGGGATTAATAATAAAAGTCGATAGCTCACAAGAAATAATGTCTAAGGAACTAGAAATATCACTGCCACTTTGTGAGCCATTTCAAACAATACAATTAAAGTTTAAAGTTTTAGCTGAATTACCACCAAAGAAAGATTCATTATCAATAGAACATAAGGTACTTTTTTTATATATTTATATTATTTTAATGATCAAAATTATGTATATATTAGAAAAAATTATACATATAAAAAGGAAAAAATATTTATAAATATTTATATTTTTTAAATATTTATATATTTTTGTAGTTGAATATACAATGTCCATGGGGTTTAGAAGAAAGCATTCCTTTACATTTTGGTCCACCACTTATGTCAAATATGAAACTTCATACAGCAAAACAAAGAAAATTTCTGCAAATAATTGTAACAGGATTAACAAATCATCTTCTACAATTAATTGAACCAGAATTAACAACAGTGACATCAATAGATGTTAATTTTAAAAGTTTAAATCCTATTGCTGGTCAAAGATTAATAATAGGTAATGGGATAAATGTATCATTTATGTGGGAACTTGAAATTGGTAAAGATGAAAAGTCTTTGATGCCAATAAAGACTGATTTTCGTGTAAAATATATATCAATCAATGATACTGAAAATCTGAATGATTCATATACTAATGATGATCCTTTGCAAATTCATAATTTACAAAGAATGGAAAAAGCATCCAGTCTTTATAGATGCAATTTCGATATTACAGATTATGTGGTAAGAATATAATTATTTCTTTGATTTTGTTAATCCATATAAATTAGTAAAATTAAAGTTTATGTAAAAATTTCTTTAATTGATAATTTAATTAAGTATAAAATATAAGTTTAAAAATATTTCAAAAAGGTGAGTTTCTATTTATAATATCATTTCCAGACTTTATTTACAGTGTCTTCAAAAGTTGAAGCAGCTGGAAATGGAGGTGAATTTTGTCGTGCTGGTAGCATGTGCCATCTTTATCTTACAGTAACACGTATGTTACCTAGTCCAAATCCAAATCCTTCACCACAATTAATGTATGAGGTTCTTGCTGATCAAGCTATGTGGGCTGTGTGTGGTCGTACTGCTGGTATTGTGTCTTTGGAAGTATTAGAAAAACAAAGTGTCACATTGGACGTGATGCCATTAACTAGTGGTTATTTACCTCTTCCTATTGTTAGATTGTCTCGATATATTCCTGCACCAGAATCAAAAAGTGGTAAGTATTATAATATAAAATATATAATATATTAAAATTTATCTTTTATTTATAATAAAATTTAATATAATTTTTATATTTTCATAAATTTATATCACAAATATTTATTAACTTTTTTAAGATATGATTCGTAAAAGTGAAATAGTTTCTAGTTCAAGACTAGAACCATTTAGCCCTGGTCAAGTTTACAATGCTAGTAAAGCACAACAAGTTCATGTTTTACCAGCAGCACCTTCAGAAGCAAATTGAATGCAGATATTGGTATTAAAAATGTATAATACATCTATGGCATTATTAAGTGCAAATTGTATGTATATTTATCAAGTCAGTTTCTATGTTATTTGGTATATTTCTATGATACTAAATAATATTATTATTAATTTATTATTCATTACTATATTAAGCTTGTTTATGTTTTTATATTTTTTAATTGAAATTTGAGTTTTGGACAAACAAAATTTATATATATTGTTTGAAATTATATGTTTATATAATGTTTGTTCAAAAATCAAATTTTAATATACATCACTGTACATTTATATAATAAGAATTTATAAACTTAAGTTCTGCCATTAAAAAGCAGAGAAACAATATGACAATATTTGAATAGTAAGTCAAATTCCAAAGTTTCTTAGTTCTGTAATACAACTATAATATGATCTTTTTTTCATGCAATAATGTGATTTATGTTTTAGCAAACTTATTAAATAATGTTAATTTTCTAATATTGTTATGTAGTCCACACATAATATTCAATCAATATATTTTTCTATTCAATTTAATTCAAAGCAAATCGTAAAAAATTTATTATTTTTAATATATGTACTTATAATTTTTTCATCATGTACATATAATAACATAATTATCTTAAATTATTTTCTATTTTTTAAATATTTGATTTTTTATGAATGATTCTTATAAGTTAAATTTATGATAAAATATTCATGATATTATTTGACTTTGAAACTCTTACAAATTATTTTAATTGTAAGATGGTTGAATATTTTTTTGTTGAATACAATTCTGTAAAATCTGTATAAAAGTTTATCAAGAATATACTCATAATATGAATAAGGACTTGAAATTATACATAATTTGTATAATATAAACAATATAAAAATATCAAGAAAAAATTATTAACATCTCAAGGATAAAGATGTTGTGTTCTATAATAAATATTTGTGAAAAATGTAAGTATATGTAAGTATATATAAAAAGAACAAAAAATATTAATAATATAAATATTATTTATATTATATTTAGTTCTTAGTTTCATTGTTCAAAATATAAATATTGCAAAAGGTATCGTTATATTGCCATGTTAATTAAGAAATTGCCTTTTGATTTAATAAATATTTCCATTTACCATGTAAATAAGATAATTATTGTAATACTCAATATAATATTTATATATTAGAAAATGTTAAAAATCGACATTTATATAATATAAAATAATATTTTTCAATGATATAAAATGTATTTTACAGAAATATCATGAAAAAGTTTATTTCTATATTATTTATTAATTAATAGATAGATATAAAATATTATGAATAAATCAATAGATATATATTCAATTCATTTGAAATTAAATCAATATGTATATTTTTAATTATTTTTAATGCAAAATATTAAATTCATTTTTATATGACAGAAAATGAAGATACACACAAACAGTGATCAGATAGATCAATTGTGTATCTATTGTTATTTTGCATTTTAAATTTAATATAACATATATAATGAAAATTGTAATATTATAAATTATTAATACAAGTTGAAGTTTGTATTAATAATTTTATTGTATCTGTATAAATCCAGAAAAATTTTAATTTGTTTAATAATATAAGCAATTATTCATAAAATTCTAAAAATATTTCTGACATAATGTTAAGATTACAAAAATGGTAGTTATGTAATCTCATTAATTATTTGATAAAATTGTATCCTACTCAAAATAATTACATATTGTACAATAAATTAAAATATAATTTTTATTTTTTATATGTACATGTTAAGATGAATTAAATTCTGAATAAACAATTTTATTAAATAAAATGAATAATTAATCCATTATATATAAAATATTTATTGCATTTCAAATATAATTTATATTAAATACAGATAAAATGATATTTAAATTATCAAATAGAGAAGTTATAAACAATCTTTTTTCGTATATATATTCAAAGAGTAAGTATATATATATTATAGACATATATATTTTAAAATTTATACTATATTTATCATTATAATATCATACAATATATAAATATATAATTACATATAAAATTATATAAATATTAGTAAGTAGGTGCTGGTTGTTGTGTGAGTAACAAACCAAATCTTCTTTTTAATGTTATTCTTTCTCTTGAATATTTATCTTCTGGAGAAAATCGTGCTGTAATTATTTTTTTATATTAAATTATTACATTATTTTATAAAATAAAACAAAATCTATTTACCTGGATGGGCTGATAATGTCGGTTTTCCATTTGGATCAATTTTCTATAAAACAAAAATATATGTATAAATAAAACAAAAAATAAGGTTATAAATATAAGGTTATAATTATATATCATACAAAGCATAAAAATTTAACACTTTCATTTGTTAATTTATAATATATAAATGTAGAAAAGAAATTCACTTGGACTTTAGTAATAAATATATATAACAATTTATAATAAAAAATATGTTTTATATTTATTACTTTTAATGTGTATACTCGATTTCCATCTTCATTTAAATAATACATTAATACATTTTTGTGTTTTAATTTTTTTAATTTTTTTATTTAAATTTGCTTAGTTTGTTTTAGTTTGTAAATTTAATTTTTTAATTTCAGCCTCGTGGTCAATCGTTTTTTCTGTATATAATTTTGACGCATGCGTAGAATGACTTGAAAATAACTTGATCGATTATGCAGATCGATTCATGCGATTTTAAATTTAAAAACTTTTAATAAATAAAAAGAATCAAATTAAGACAACTTGATTTAAAAATAATTCTATATTTTAATAACAATTTTTTAAAATAAAGATTAATTCTAAATTTAAATAAAGCTTATTTAACAATATAAATATAAACTAATTTTAATAATTAAATTTCATATTTCATAAATTGCTATTTAAGATAATATTTTTTTATATATATTTTTATTAAATGCTAAAAATTATTTTAATTTTCAATAACATTTTTATTTATTTTATTTATTATTTATGAATTGTTGTAAAATTATGATTTCAAACAATTAATAACAATTTTATATTATATTCAATTTTAATTTTAGCTTGCTGATATTATGTATTTTAAATGAATTAATAATAAATGATATTCTTTACTAACAGAATTTAAATGTGACTCGTGCTTATGTCTCGTGGATGAAAGCTCTCATCGTTCACACATGCAACAGATCCGTGGGTGTAGAAGTTCTGACAATTCTTCTTACCAAAGTCGACATTCAAACACGCATGGTTGATGTGACGAACCATCAGATAGTCACAATATAGAGTGTTACTTCCGTTGACAAGTAAATCATTGTCAGTATGAAACGAGTATTGCCCGTAACAGTATATTTAGTCGTAGTTCTCGTTTTTATAAACATTTTCCTAATGTTTTTCGACGATATTTAAGGTACTTATATATGTATTGTTTATAAACTCATTCATTCGAAACGATAATTTACAATTTGATTTAATTTGTTATTGCTATAATCATTAATATCTAATCATTAATACGTATATCATATTAATTTCATTAATGATAACTTTATCAATTTGAATAATTTAAAATTCAAAAATTGGATCGAAAAAATTTTTTTTAAATGCAATTATATAATTTTTATATCATAAATTTTATTATTTGATTTTATATAATGATTTATTATATTCATCTTTTATTTTTAATAATTTATTTAACTTAGTTAGAAGAAATTAAAACACATATTTATTATTAAAGAAACTATTGAAATATTTTAACTTATAAAAAATTATATTTATTTAAGATTGAAATTATGTCTGAGAAAACATACATTCAAATTGTATTATCTATAAACATTCTATCTGTAAAAAATAATCATATATTGATATTGATATATCGATTATCTAACTAACTGAAATACTGATTTTGTAGTTTGATGTATATTATATGAGTTATAATGTTATATATAAAAAATTGTATTTTATTATAAACAGAATTTTTTTTTCTAAATATTCACAACAAAAATTGTACTTATATTTTTATAGATGCAACCAAGAAAAATTCGTTGGATTATTCAAATCGAAGAAAATCCATGGCAAGGTGAAAGTGTCGAGGAGCAAATTTCTAGTATTAAAGGTAATATCAATTTAAA